TGTACTTATTAGCGGTTAGTGACTCAACCCTTTTTAATGCTGCTGGATCTGTATCAGGGGCGGACTGACCATTTGGAAACTCGGGCACTGCCCGAGGGCCCGGGGTCAGTAGGGGGCCCCATGAGATGCCCCTGGTACCTTTTTCATAGGCTTTTTTGAGTTTGGGCAAGGACACAGGGGCCCCATGATCCCCTATTGCCCAGGGGCCCCATTAGTTGTCAGTCTGCCCCTGATCTGTATAACAGCCAGGCGACTAGCATTATCAGAAAGAGGTCCGCAAGGGCCAGCAAAATTGTCAATACGCTAAATATGACCAGTGGCAACTCCTACTACAGATCAGCAACTCTGTCCACTGAAAATATTTTTTGTAGATTATAGCCTGGCACAGGGGTGGACTGACAACTCGTGGGGCCCCCGGGCAATAGGGGATGATGGGGCCCCTGTGTCCTTGCTCAAACTCAAAAAAGCCTATGAAAAAGGTACCAGGGGCATCTCACGGCACCCCCTACTGACCCCGGGCCCTCGGGCAGTGCCCGAGTTTCCAAATGGTAAGTCCGCCCTTGGCCTGGCATAAAAGAGACAAAAATATAAATGGGTTTATGTTAGCACTGATTACGTTAGTGAATATTTGATTTCATACCTGTCTGTGACATAAAGAGCCATGAAAAGCTTAGGACAGTTGTTCCTGCCCAGGAAAAGGTCTATTATGACTCATTTTAAATTGAGCCATGCCTGTTGGAGCACTGCCTACTTCACATTTTTCTTCTTGATATCTTAAAGATATCCCTCCTGACTATGTATGCATATCTTGGCTCCGCTTATTTCAAATCGGTTTATTTTGTCTTTATACCTTGATTTTCTGCTTTTTTTTGTTTCAAAAGTATGTGAACAATTGTGAGGGGGTGTGTTACTTTTTTTTTTTTAACTTTTTTAAGCAGAAAAAAACACAGGGACAGCACTTTCAGGAAAGGAGCATTTTGCTGCAAAAAAAAAAAAAAAAAAAAAAAGCTTAAATGCATGTGAACACACATTAAGCCTGGGTTCACATACGTGCGGTATATCCAGGGGCGGACTGACCATTTGGAAACTTGGGCACTGCCCGAGGGCCCGGGGTCAGTAGGGGGCCCCATGAGATGCCCCTGGTACCTTTTTCATAGGCTTTTTTGAGTTTGGGCAAGGACACAGGGGCCCCATCATCCCCTATTGCCCGGTGGCCCCATGAGTTGTCAGTCCGCCCCTGGGTATATTGCATGTGATTCGCACAGGAACTGCACCGCATTCCTGTGCAAATCACATGCAATTTGTGTGCGGTGTGATTGGAGCCATACATTTTGTATGGCTCTATTCACACCACACCCGCACCAAAAAGGTGCAGGACCCTTTTTTGGGTCCGCACTAGAATCAGATTGCAGGCTTGTTCACACCTATGCGATCCGATTCTGCACATCACACCGTGTTTTGCGGACCGCTTTCGGGGTGTTGTTAACTTAACATACACACCTGCAGCAGTTTGCATGTACGGGGTGCGATTCTGATGTGGTGCGGAATTTGCACTGAAAACACTGCAAATTCCGCACCGCATCAGTGTGCACCAGGGCTTAAGCGCCAGGTGTGATTAGTGCTTGAGTGTATGTTAATTTCAGTGGCTGGAATAAATTAATATTTCGACCAATAAAAGGTATTATAGAAGAGTTGCAATTTGCATGAGGCCTTTTGCAGTTGTAACCTTTTTCTGGCTACATTTGTATCCAATTGTGTTCAGTGGTGACAGTTGTTTTCTTAGATACTTTGTTTGAGAGCTGCCCCAGCTGAAGCTGGTATACATTTTATTAAAAAAAGTTCCTTTTAAGAATGTTCTTCAAAATTTGAATTGCTTGTGGAGTGAAATCGAACTTCGCACTGACAAGAAAATTTGAAGGAGCAGGATGGAAAATTTTCTGGAACAAATTTCTAACAGTGCAGAAACGCAGTATTATTATTATTATACAGGATTTATATAGAGCCAACAGTTTGCTCAGCGCTTTACAATATAATTGGAGACAATACAGCAACAATACAGTTCAATAGAAGAGGGTTAGGAGGACCCTGCTCCTTGGAGCTTACAATCTAAGAGGGAGGAGCTGGTGATAGAAAAGATAATAACTGTGGGGGATGAACTGGTAGGAGGAGTAGAAGCAGGGGCAGACTGACAATTCATGGGGCCCCTGGGCAATATGGGATTATGGGGCCCCCTGTGTCCTCGCCCCCACACCCAAAAAAGCCTATGAAAAAGCCAATGAAAGGTACCAGGGGCATCTCATGGGGCCCCCTACTGACCCTGGGCCCTCGGGCAGTGCCCGAGTGGCTAAATAGTCAGTCCGCCCCTGAGTAGAAGATTCCATTATTAGCTTAAGGCAGGATAGGCTTCCCTGAAGAGATAGGTTTTCAGAGATCACCTAAAAGTGGGAAGAGTATGCGATAGTCTGATATATTGAAGTAGAGAGATCCAGAGGATGGGGGAGGCTTTGGAGAAGTACAATCCATTTAACATGATTTCCTATGGGACAGGTTCACATCTCCACATTTTCACCCGATGCATTTTTTGGAAAGGGTCAGGGACTTTTTTTTAATGCAAAATGTTGGGTTTTTGGTTCTATAGACTGCAATGAGAACGCTGCAGAAAAGCATGTATTGCGTATTTGATGTGTTTTGTGCTTAAAATCTCCCTAGCAACAATTAAAAAGAAAAAAAAAGCAAAAACGCGTCACAAACGCATCCTGCATAGGTGTGAACCTAGGGTAAACATGAACTAAGTACTGTACCAGCATGTCTATGAACTTTGTCATGAAACCAGAGTAACCTCACACATGCAAACTCCATGCAGATGGTGTCCTGGTTGGGATTCAAACCAAGGCCTAGTGCTGTCAGGTAGAAGTACTGAGCCCGAGCCCATATATTACAGCACAGAAACAAGATATAGCTGTGCCCATGTCCCATACCTTGTACATGCAGTTACCTATCAGGTGCTAAAGGGGTGTAGGCACAAATTAACACTAGAAATCCCGGGATTCCTATAGCACACCATTTGTAGAGGGGTCATTCACCCAATACCCTGTAACAGCCCCTAGTACAGCCCACCCCATGCACAGCAACACACAGCAGTAGTAGCAGACATTGCACCTTTAATTCTCTCCCACTCACAGCTGCCAATCACAGGACGTCAGCAGCCCACAGGGCCCCCCCTATCCCATCGCCCACCCGCTTTTATCAAGTTAGGCTGACCCGTCCAAACAGATGATGTCATTCTATTAATAACCCCGTGACCGGCGGGAGCCGCCGGGGTCTGCGCTCATTGGCTGACACAGGCCTTCCATCAGCAGGCAGGCAAAGCTGTGATTGGCGGAGCTGCGCCTCCCAAATAATAAACAATCTAGTCGTAATGAAGAGCAATGCTTGTGCTGTATGGAGCTAGCAGAGGGCGCGGCTTGTGCGTGACGTCGGCGGCCAGGGGCGGGGTGTTGCATGCAGTTGCTGCTACCATTCCTAGGAATGATTAGACGGCTCCGGCTGCTCTTTGTTAGGGGGGATGAGAGTGTAAGCGGGCGACCTGGTGTGTCTCCATGGGGCGGCCATGCTTCTCCTGATCTCTAGATCATGACTCTATGCCACATTGTTTAGTGTATGCACCTTGATTGCGTCATTCAGTGCGCCCCGCCCACCACGCCTGTCACCATGCCTCCTCGAGTGATTGATAGGAGGAAATGCGGTTTGTTTTGCTTTTTAAGGGGGGATGGTTTTCATGTGATGTCATCGTACACGCCTGTGTATATGCGATGTGTGAGCACTGCTTCTATTTATAGTGCTGCAGTGTGGATCGGGCTGGATCTGCACAATGATTGTTCATGAGGATTAGCAGATCTGTACAGAACATCCATGTCACATACATGACATTGTCAGCACACAAAGGAAGAATGGCTGTACTGTTACTCAGCTGTCTCCCAGGGATCTGTGCTGCTTACTCTATGTACTTTACAGCCATGACCGTGCATGCATCAATTGATCATTTGATTTTGTTTTTTAATGGTTTTTTTTAGTCCTCAATCACAGGCGTGATGATGCCCATACAGTGTGAACGGGCTGTTTCACAGTATCTTTCATTTCCAGCTGATGGGTGCAGGCAATCCATTGAAGTCTATTAGGACCGTCCTAATGTGACAGGAGTGTGCGACCCCCAGTCACAAACTGTGTTCAGGGTCGTTCACTGAACCCTTGTCACGTTAGGAGGATCGGCTGTGTACTAATGTGTAACTACAATGTGCCACCTGCACCCACCACTGGAATTTAGAGATGCTGCAAAAAAAAAGTCAGTTCACACTGTAGGGGACATCATCGCCTTTGTGATCGAGGACTAAGTAAAAAATCAAATGGGAAATTGATGCACGCATTATTAGGGCTGTAAAGTAAATGGTAGTGGCCTCTTCAATAAGCAGCACAGATCAATGGGATACGCCTGCAGAGTACTGCCACTCTTCCTTTGTGTACTGACAATGTCATGTATGTGACATTGATGTGCTCCTATAGATCTGCTAATCCTCATGTAGAATCATTCTGCAGATCCGCTCTACACTGCAGCACTATAAACTAGGACTAAAGCTAAATTCTGGGGAAAGTAAAAAATCCTTTGCAGTATAAGGGTTAAAGTGTTACTAAACCCAGGACCCGGCATTCACTATATCTGGTCTCCCACAGAACACGGAAATGCAATTATTTTAGTAGATTTAAACTGCTAAATACCTTTTCTCATCAGCAGTTAGAGCAGTCTTGTGACTTCTATCCGTGTCCAGCCAAGCACTGGTTAACCAATTGCCGTCTGCAGATAGCCGAATGACGGCTTCACTGTGGCCGGCCAGTTCTGGGAGGGCATCATATGACGCCCTCCCGCGCACCCCTGGGTGCGATCTCTGTGATTGCTGTGTCCTACAGACACAGCTGATCACGTGATGTGGTAAAAGGCCAATCACAGCGGCTTTTTACCATGTGATCAGCCCTTTCCAGGGGCAGACTGACCATTTGGAAACTCGGGCACTGCCCGAGGGCCCGGGGTCAGTAGGGGGCCCCATGAGATGCCCCTGGTACCTTTTTCATAGGCTTTTTTGAGTTTGGGCAAGGACACAGGGGCCCCATCATCCCCTATTGCCCGGGGGCCCCATGAGTTGTCAGTCCGCCCCTGGCCGTGTCTAATGACACAGCAGATCACTGGTAAATACAGTTGCCGGTTATCGGCTGCACTTTCCTCATGCTGTCACAGTGTGAGGAAAGTACTGCCAATAACTGGCAATTGTCAGAGGACCGATTGGCACCAATCATCAGGGCACTGATGATCAGTGCCACCCACCTGTGCCCAGCAGTGCCACCCACCTGTGCCCAGCAGTGCCACCCACAAGTGCGCAACAGTGCCACCCAGCAGTGCTGCCAGTCAGTGCCACCCATCAGTGTCACCTGTCAGTGCTCATCATTGTTGCATATCAGTGCTGCTTATCAGTGCTGCCTATCTGTGCCACCTCATCAGTGCCCGCCAGTGCTGCCTATTAGTGCAGACTCATCAAGACACATCAGTGAAGGAGAAAAATGACCTGTTTGCAAAATTTTATAATAGAAACAAAGAAAAACTTTTTTTTTTTTTCCAAAATTTTTGCTCTTTTTTTTGTTTATAGCGCAAAAAATAAAACACCCAGTGGCGATTAAATACCACCAAAAGGAAGCACTATTTGTGTGAAAAAAAAAAATATTAAAATTTCAAATGGGTACATTGTTGCATGATTGCACAATTTTCATTCATAGGAAGGGGTTATAAGTCCTCGGTAGGCAAGTGGTTAAAGCATGTCGGAGGAGTTTTCATTCTCCCCTCATTGTCCTATGAGGATGCAGAACCCCTGACCTCTGTCTGGACAGTGCTGATTGGCCCTGTGCTGATCACATGCACTCTCCCAAGAAAAAAAAAAACCCTCTAGCAGTACACACTTAACTGAGCATGTGCAGAGTGACTCCACACGATATGTCTTATCAGGAGATAAGAGGGGGCACTGCAAGAAGAGGAGGATCAGAGAAGTCAGGATCAAACAGCCTTTTTACACAATGCAGAGGATTAACCAATTAGGCTCCACAGTGCGTACAACAAGCATGCTTTACTGCATCTACAGACTGATTTTACTGTTGTGGGTTTAGTAACACTTTAAAGTGGAGTTCCAGCTGTTTTAGTGTTTATTAAAAGTTAGCAGCTACAAAAACTGTAGCTGCTGACTTTTAATAAACATAAACTTACCTGTCCCAGGGTCCAGTGATGTTCTCACCTGCGCTGTCCCTTCTCTCCTCCATGGTGCCCACATCTCAACTGTGGGCACCAGGCCATGACAGCTTGCGGCTTCACAGCCCGGTGCCCACTGCACATGCGCGAGTCACGCTGCACCCCTCCTAATTACTCTGGCAGTCACCTGGGACTTGTGAAAGTTCCCAGGAGACTGCGGGAGGGAGGAGGGGGCCGAACTTCCGGCTCACTTTGCCACGGCGAACTTAGCCAGAAGTGGGAGCGTGTACCTGTCAAAAAGAGTTAAGTGGAACTCCGCTATAACGTGAAATACCTTCTGTGCGGCAAAATCCCCCCCAGCCCCCCTGTTATACTTACCTGAGCCCAATCTGATCCAGCGATGTGCTGGAGAGCAGCGGCTATCGCTGCTGTCTCCCTCCTCCCTGGGCAGATTGATAGCAGTGGGAGCCATTGGCTCCCACTGCTGTTAATCAAATGCTGTGCCGAGAAAGCGGGGGGGGGGTGGCACCAAACCACCCACTCTGTGTCAATAGATGCAGGTAGGGCGGCTCAGGAGCATTTGCTGAAGAGGAGGAGCCTGGGGCACTGGCAGGAGACCCCAGAAGAAGAGGATCGTGGGCTGCTCTGTGCAAAACTAGTGCATAGGGCAGGTAAGTATGACATGTTTATTTTAATAATAAAAAAACAATTAAAGCTGTAAAGTGATACTAAACATAATAAACCTTTGTTACCTTAATGGATTGCTTGCATTAAAGTAAAAAACATTTTTAAGGTCCCTGTCTGGAGGGGAAGAGAGGGGAGAGAGAGAGATCAGCGCTGTGCACAGCTTCATCTCTTCTCTCCTCACTTCCTCTACACACAGGGACTCGAACAGCAGCAGGAGCCATTGGCACTTGCTGCTGTCAATCAAGTGCAGTGAAGTAGAAGTGGGGGTGTGGGACTAAGTTCCGTTGTGTATGTCTATGGAGCATGGCTCCATAGAAACACAGGTCAGAAGTGTGCACACAGTGTTTGTTCCCATAGCACATGGCTTGCTGCGGCCCTCCAGCTGCTGCAGAACTACAAATCCCATGAGGCACTGCAGGACTGACAGTTGAAAGCATGACTCCCAAAGGCAGAAGCATGATGGGATTTGTAGTTTCTCAACAGCTGGAGGGCCGCAGTTTGACACCTGTGATGTACAGCATTGCATGACCGCGCAATTGTCAGTTAAAGTAACGCAGCGCCGTATCGCAAAAACTGGCCTAGTCAGGAAGGGGGGTAAATCCTCTGGAGGGAAAGTGGTTAAAATAGCTTTTGCATAGTTCCATCTCTTCCAAAGAGTTATCATGTTTAATAAGTAGAGTCCAGGGGTGTCAAACTGGTGGCCCTCCAGCTGTTGCAAAACTACAAGTCCCATCATGCCTCTGCCTTTGGGAGTCATGCTTGTAACAGTCAGTCTTCCAATGCCTCATGGGATTTGTAGTTTGGCAACAGCTGGAGGGCCACCAGTTTGACACCCGTGAGCTAGAGGCTTTGTACACCTTCTTATAGGGATCGGTGACTGTAACCGCCCCAGACTGCACTTGGGTACTTCCGTTAGGATACCGCTTCCCTGTGCAAACACCGACCACAGACACCACAGCCGACCATACAAGACTAGACGACACCAGTCTTGAAGTAAACCAGGAAATAGACCACTTTATTTTAACACAGATACAAGATATATACATTCAAGGGATCAACCCCCCTCCCTGCATAATGACACAGGGCGGGGCAATCTACCTTTAGTAACAAGAGACACACCAACAGACAGTCCCATCAGGAGAGGGAGGCTGCTGGAGACACCCCCCACCAAGCCAATACACAAACACATACATCCCATAATAGTTTGCTCCCAAGCAAGACATACAATAGAACAATGGGATGCAACCACATGGCATTAAACAATCAACAACCCCCCACCCCAATATTAGGACAGATCACCCTGTACCCCTAACAGGCACAGGGTGACTTACACATAAGAGGGATATGGGGGAGCTGAGACAAAGTGAGCTGTGTTTCATGGGCCCCCCCCCACCCAAAGTGACTCCTGTCACAGTGACCAGTACTGTTTCCATGTGAATGAGAATCCTCCCCCCCCCCCCCCCACCATATGACTGCTGCTGATTTCTGGAAGTAGCAGCCATGTTGTCTTCCCATGATGACATACTGTATGTTGTAGGAGGACAGAACACACAGCTGTCTGTCAAAAGCCCCTTACATGCTGCCTTTCAGCATCATCACCTAATAAAACAGAGCGGTGTCCTTTGTAGCAGCATGAATGGGAAATGTACTGTATATAGAGCTGGTGACTGATGAAGCTGCTGCTGACTGTGATCATGTACACATGGAAGATCCTTTTTCTCTCTCCCGCCTCACTGGTATCTAATTCCTGTTTATTTACAAGGAACGTATTGGTTTGATTTGTATTTGGCAGATATACACCATGTCACACAATATCATCTTGTATTAAATCAAACACTCTGACTAGAGAAAAATTGCTGTAGTATGCAGTTCTTGCCTGTGAAAGTGCAGACAAAAGAAAATCACAGATATGCATTTAATGATTAAGGCCAGATTTTTAAGGAGACTGCCTTCTTCTGGGCGATTGCCTAAATTCTATTGAAAATGCAGCTTTTTTACAGAAACTCTATATATACCATGCTATGATTCACGTGAATGGAAACTTTCAACATCCTACAGGGGAAAGTAGCCAATAAATGAGTCATTTTTGTGTTAATTGGGTTGAATGAAAAAAAAAAAAAGACCCAATTACCCTATCTACACACTCAATGTCTTTTGAAAAGTCTATATTGGACGCAACGCGTCAGCTGGGCGGGACCTTGATGACACCACACCGGGCTGGACTTAGCTGGCCATACAAGGGTCGAATTCTGAAAGAATTTTCTTTCGAAAATCGTAATTAAGAATTTTTTTTCGAATTTCGCACAATTAGTGGGCCATTTGTAAACGCTAAAACTTTCACGTAAACCCATTAATTTACACGTATTGGGATTTTTTTTTAGCAAAGACATGTAGCAGAATACATTTTGGCCTAAATTTTTGACGACATTTGATTTTTTAAATATTTTTACTGGACATAATATCAAAATATTAATATTTAATATCAAAAAGTCAAAAATATTGTTTTGTTTTTTTTCCTCAAAATTGTCGCTTTTTTTTTATAGCGCAAAAAATTAAAAAACGCACAAGCAATCAAATACCACAGAAAGAAAGCTCAATTAGTGGGAAAAAAGGGCATAAACTTAATTTGGGTGCAGCGTTGCATGACCGCGCAATTTTCAGTTAAAGTAACGCAGTGCCGTAACGCAAAAAATGGCCTGGTCAGGAAGGGGAGTAAATCCTCAGGAGGGCAAGTGGTTAAATCCTTAAAGTGTTACTAAACCCAGGACCCGGCATTCACTATATCTAGTCTACACAGTACACACACAACATGGAATTGCAATTATTTTAGTAAATATAAACTGCTAAATACCTTTTCTCATCAGTTGTTAGAGCAGTCTTGTGACTTCTGTCAGTGTCCAGCAAAGCACTGGTTAAAGCTTGTAGGAGGAGTTTTCATTTTGCTCTAGGAGGATTCAGAACCCCTGACTTCTGTCTGGACAGCGCTGATTGGTCCTGTGCTGATCACATGCACTCTCCTAAGAAAAAAACAAACCTAGCAATACACACCAAACTGAGAATGTGCAGAGTGACTCCACATGATATGTCTTATCAGGAGATAAGAGGGGGTCACTGGAAGAAGGGGAGGATCAGAGAAGTCAGGATAAAACAGGCTTTTTAAACATTGCGGAGGATTAACCCCTTAGGTTCCACAGTGAGTATAACAAGCATGCTTTACTGCATATACAGACTGATTTTACTGTTTTGGGTTTAGTAACACTTTAAAGTGATTGTAAACCTCAGACATGAAATATGAACAAAGCATATTCCTCTATAGCATGTACATGTCTCAGTTAAGAGCATTAAGCTCCGCTTCACACTGGTGTGACTTCACAGATCAAAGTCACATGACAAGTTGCACTTTGAAAAAGGTTCCTGCATTATTTTTTGCAATTTCATGTGTGGCTTGCATTGACATCTGTGCATGAAGTCGCACAGATGTCGGCAAGCCGCACATGAAGTTGTATTGATCTGTGTCTTTGAAATCACACTGAAATAGCGCGATTTCAAAGCTGGATGCTTGCTATGAGGGCACCCGAAAGGA